TACTTTCAATGCCTAGGTCATTAAATATTAATTTAAGTATCTTTTGTGAACTTGGTTGGTCACGTCAATTCTGGAGGTGGACAGGAAACCGCCAGTTTTAAAAATCTAGACAAGGGGAATCACAGCAGCTGGGCATTAAATAAATGACGTTTACAGTGCCCTCGAAGTTCTTGAGTAGCTGATTTTTGTGCTGTACAAAGTGGCTTACTTTTGAGTTGGTCAAATCCTTAATCCTGACATCAGACTTTTGTCTTACGAAATATCGGCTAAAATGCTAAACACTACTTATTATTTTGATATTGTTCCTTTAATCAAAATGCTTGTTAAGGACAAAAGTAATTGAGCGTCGAAGTGGCTCAAAGCGCCTTTTAGTTTGTAGAACAAAGCCATGAAATATCTGCCGTAATGGTTAAAGATTGCCCGATGTCTTTTCGCTTGGTCAAATACATTGTAAACTTTGGAAACCGCAAGTATCAATATCCGTTGATCAAAGAATGACCCTTGTGCGTAGATAAGACGGTGGAACAAAGAAACGCGTAAAGACGTATATTGGAATTTTCATACGAGCCACACCGTGTCCGGTAATATAGAATACAGCCGTTCTTAATAATTCTCGCCCCCTCTTGAAAATCCTATAATATTGCACCTTCTTTAACAAATGATGCAACACCCTACGTTTTACTATACAAACATTGATCATCTCTCGATAGCTTTATTCAGTGTTCTATATTTAGTGTGATTATATTAGCTTGTTTCTGTTAGATTTTAAATTTGAAGAAATTAGTTTAATCATAACATGTTCAAAATAGTCTTGAAATATCGTTATCCACCTCAAGTTTAACATCATGCGGCCCAACAGTCACACATTCATTTAACAGTTTGTCCCTGGTCGACCTTTCAACTAATTTTCCTTTTAGAGCGATTCTTCCAAAACCAGCCATCATTTTATAGAATAGATATTCTCTTTAAAAACACTCGCATCAGCCCTAAAACCATGCTTGGTGTTCAGCCAAGACGTTCAGCAAGTTATAATGTTTGTTCAATTTCTTTCCATCCGATTGTGAAGTAAAACAATTTTTGTTATGGCGTCTTTAATGCTCGCATATTAAGGTCTTTACTATAGGTTTCACCTAAAGGGGATAAAATAGGAACCTGAATCTAGGATATGTTTACAGGAAAGTAAAGAAGCCTGTTTTTTTTTATGTGGCCAATTCATATCTTGGTTTTGTTAGAAACTGAATTTAATTTTCTAAGCTTTGATTTTCTTTGGAGAAGTTTCTCTTTTTGCTCTTGTTGTGCTTGTTAACTAAGTTATGCGTCTCCTTCCGGCAATTCATAAAACTGAGTTTTCAATCGTAAATGAGATCATTAAGTAGGCCAGACAAAGGATCTTTATTTTTCCTGTTTTACTCGAACGCAGGCAGGAACAAGATCATGAACGTAGGTTCATGTGGTCCCTGATTGAGCGTAAGAATTCGTTGAGGAAAATCTTCAAGTTCACATAATTCTCCTTCTCCTTATGTATTAGACTGCAAAAGAGTCCGTATTTTTGCGTATTCAAGTACGCGCGAGCAGTCAAACAAACGTTCTAGAGCACCTCACACGCCCTATCGCCGTGTGAGGCTCGCGCGCGAAGCTACGCTAAACTATTTTGAGAAAAAAACGACTGTTTTGCAGTCTACATTGTAAGCAGAGATTAATAACAAACATTTGCCTATCGCCAGGTACCTACGGTGCGGTTTCATTCACTATAATCACGGAATTCTTTCAGTGAGATTTAAAATCGATCACCGATCCACACCAGCACGTGAAATAACAGTGTCTTGTTGCAAATTTATAAACGTAAACATAGTTCACTCCAGTACCACTTCGGAATCATCAAGGGAAATCATTAAAAGTCGATTTATCAGGAGCCCAGAACAAATGATGGGCAATCAGAAAATATGGCATAGATAGCAGTGATTTTTATAAATTTGATTTCTGATAAAATGATTCAATCATATCTTCTTTTTACGAAGGCAGGGAACAAACAGAAAGATCATGATTTAATTTTGTAAAACGCAACATTGCGATAATACAAATTTAAAATAAAGTGACATGAACTGAAGGGAAATGAAATTAGTTTGAGTTTGTAGGAAGTTTGAGTTAGCGAGGGTTTGAGATTTTAAGGGATGATTTACTGCAATAGTGTGGAGCAAATCTGCACAGGTGAATTCGACAATTTGTATCATTTTAGTTCGTGTGGGCGAGCTTCAACCTACCGAGAGTTCGAGTTACCGGCGTAAACTGCCGCAATTCTTCTGTTCGTTACGCAAAATGTGATGCAACAGAAGTAAAACATATGCCAAACTTTTCTCCACCAGCTCTTTACTCTTGTTTACACTAATACTACGATCTATATATATCTCATCAAAACAACGCCGGGCTTCGAGGCGCGTGTTGTTTCAATGAGTTAGCTGATTCACGTTGCTCCCATGAAACTCCCTTTAACTGTTCAAAATTCTAAGCGTTTAAACCTTCGGCTTCATTAGGGTTGATTTCCAGTGTCGCGTAATTTTTACGTGCGTAAGTGTGTAAAATTTACGTTCGTAAATGAAATGGAAGCCTTGTATGACGTATACGCGTGACCTTCCATATGTCTCTATTTTATTTACGCGCGTAAAATTTACGCGCGTAAAATTTACGCGCGTAAAATTTACGTGCGTACACATGGAAAAATTACGCGTCAGTGGAAATCCACCTACAGTCTACAAAAGTGTCCCCAATTCGATCTGACGCCTGGCTCATCAACCAACCAACTCTTTCTCGCTCGATTGCGTCGCCTCTTTCTTCCCTGTAGAACGCTCTTTGCAGGGGATTTGTGCCTAAAAATAGTGACTCAGCTCACGAAGAAGTTTATCTGCAGTTCCCTTTCTATGAGTTTGGCTCTCTGTTATTGTCAGGGAACAAAATTGTTTTGCCAGAGATCCAGTCTTCCTACTTGTTAGAAAACGGAATCGTAAATCAGTGTTCACGGCGAATAGAATTTGAGAATTTTGCATGAAGGGGTCTCTTCCAGGTTTAATCCCTTTACAATCAACAAATTAAACCTTTTTCATTTTCTCTAGCCTTTGAGTTTCTACTTTGATGTCACCTGCTTTGCATGAAACTCGTCATTAGCTTTCAAGCTTAGTACAATCCTATCAATCGGTCCTAATTAGGTCTAATTAGCGTTGATCGGCTTTACAAAAGTCGACGGACAGAGATTTTGCAGATTATGTACTGCTTTAGGTGTAAATCCTGGGTACTCTTTTCCTGAGTAAGCATTGATTCTGTGCCCTTTTCAAAAACCGGAAAGCAGCAGTTGTCCAGATTATTGACCTATACACTCATTAGTCGTAGGCGGGATTTTCCTTCTTCTTTTCTACACTTAAGCAAAGGATCGGATCAGGAAATAATATCCTGATGACTACTGGTTTTCCGCCAGTTAGCATCTCTTTCTTGAATCAAATAACAAGAGGCAGCTAAGGTATGGATGTATTTTCGGACAAAAGCACGTTAGGCCTAACCTCGTTACCAGGGTCCTCTCCTACTCGGGAGCGAGGCTGGGTTAGGCCCATTTACCAGCCATTTTGTGCTCTCGCGTTTCTTGGCGGGACGAGGATGCAACCTGCGGGATCCCCTCAAAAACGCTGGAAATCGCGAGCCTGTAGCACGTGGAGAAAATTACAAACTTCGTAACGTTCACACCTGTTACATAACCTTCTTTTCAAAACAATTTTAAGGGCCCTTGACCTCGACCAACCCTCTCCTGGGCGATCTTTCCAAGCAGAATGACAAGGCTGCGATTTTCATGCATAACTGCTTCTACGGACGTGATGCAAAAGCTTTACTTAGAAATCGATAGTCCTTACAAAGCCAGCAGAGCATTTAATAGATATGCTCTCAATTTGGCTCCACTTTGTAGTCTTTCATATTTAAATTTAAGTTGCTGTGAAGGGATTCACATGCAGTAAGGCATGCACATCGTTCGAGACTCGATGCAGTTAGCACAACTCCGAAAGATGCCTCTGTCTTCATTTTCTCCTCGTTCTAGAAAGGCAGCTCCAGCGCGAGTGACGCCAAGGCGATTGTAAACGTAAAAACAAATGACACTGCAAAAATGCAAACACAAATGACTGAAAACATTTAAAGACAGCTGGCTGATAAAGGTGCATCTTTGTAAGACATGTTGGTTTCATTTTGATTAATAATAAAATTGGGCTCACTGACCGGACTTCAAGCAGGTTTTTGAACTACAACTACTTACACTGGCAGCTCCAAATAACAAGTGATGATTATGATGTTGCTATAGTAACCTCTGGTATTAAAGAAATAAACAACACTTGTTAAGCAATGATCTTGCATTTGTTTGAAATCTTTATTGAAATATCAAGTGATAAATAATAAAGATACTGACCCAATATTGGGTACGAACATGCTGAAACGGCTGTTTTCAGCAGCCAGATTTTAACCTCGGCACTTCTGTTCGTCTTTAGAGCTTTCAAATTTCTTGGAGAGAGTTAGTTCTTTAATGTGAATGTCCAGTTAAGTTACTGACACGAACATAGACGTAACTAGGAGAATGGAGGGAGGCTACTTTAATGCGGTAAAACTGCCGGTCCTCGCTTTTTCTGATGTCGCTTGTTGGTGGTTTTATACCACCTATAGTTTACACAAAAAGTGTTTTGTAAAGTTGTTTTGTTCTTAACTGCGTTTTTTGATTTAAGAGACATGTTTGTCTGAGCCCAGCTCTAATTGACTATAAATCAACGGATTTCATCAAGTCTGTCGGGATGACCAACGTGGGCCCTTAAAGTATGAGCAATAAATCTTGATCAAGATTCAGTCAGCTTTTCAAGTGTCAGTGGAAACACATGCCTTGAACTGCAGTTTAATTGATTGCCAACATTTTCAAGCGTGCAACTGCCAAGCAACGTTTTTTTCAGCTTATTAGACATGTTCGCGGGGTGATAACCCTCATGTCTCAACGGTACAATAAAAAGGTAACGAACGTTTAATAGTCCATTACCTGACAAGAGACCGGCCTAAACTAACTGGAATTTCTAAACTGATATTAAGCCTACAAGTTCGTGCTTGTCAACAAGGAAACCTGGTAATTTCATATTGAACTAAAATATGAACCACGGGGTTTGATATTTTTGGGGTCGATTGGTATACGGCTTCACAAGCGATTTTATGCTATCATATAAGCTCGATATCACCCCCTACTAGATTTGACACATCTGTGAAGAATGGGATTATTGACTGTTAGAATTCTAAGAAATTCCCTTTCTAAAACTGTTTTGAAGAAGTATCATTCTGGAATTTTAGTTATTTTGGGTTATCAATTAAGTTAATTAGTTTTTAAACTATATGATTAAACTTATTGACGCGTGTTTTCAGGGCCTATACACATAATGTGCGAATCAAATTTTTTCGATGCATTGTTACTTTAAAAAGTAGCGGTGTATTAAAATATCTTTACGTCTGTAAATAGCTGCTGTGCTTCGGATGAGTAAAATTATCGGTTGGAGATCAATATTCCTCATGATAAATTGTGAGTACAGAGGAATGAAACGTCTTGGTTGTCAACACGTGTTCAAAGGAAGCTGATCTAGGAAGACCGTCGACGCATGCGCAAACTTACCGGGCAGAAAAAAATGTCGCTTCTGTAAAAGCAATATTTCTAACAGTTTCCCCTTGTTCCTTAATCAACCAAACCCCAAATTTTGTTCCGGAAACAATGCTTACCGGCTACAATTGTAAACTCGAACAATTTTGACCCCAAATCACTTTGCAATGCCATGCGTTGTTAATCTTATCCGCGAAAAAAAAAACAGGCCGAAAAATTTGTGTTAACATTGACAATTTGTCACCATCTTCTAAATGATTCTGTTAGGGTTATAGTGGCCAGGAATGTACGAAAAACGAAGCAGGAATTTTTTATATTATTATCAATATTTCTAATCGTTTCCTCAAGCAACACGCCCCAATTAATTTGTTCCGGAATGATAGTCTGCGAAGTAGGTATAGATTTGTTTCCAAATATAATTTGTATATACAAATTTTTAATGATATGAACTACAAACTACAGTGCATATATTATAATTAATCGTGACTTGACAAATTTTCTCCCTCAATTAATATTTGTCACGGTCCTGGGTAAACAAGAGGATCCCTTAATCAGTGCTTCTAAAGTTTTCCTGCTTCTTAACTCCAACAACTTGACCTCGTGTTGCTCAAACCTCTTGGGCGCTGTTCAGAAACAGACGGGCTTCATGAAAACGAAGTTTGTTAGCTCACGTTCAAGCCTGTTGTATTACTGAAGTTCCGGTCTTCAAACAAGCTCTTGGTAAGCGATCCTACAGAAACGTTTATGAAATTACGGTAATTTTGTCAAGAGAAGATAATTTCTCTCTAGATTGTGTCTTTAGACATTTTTATTCTCGCGATGCTGCGGCTTCGGAAACTTTAAGGGTCATTTTATTAGCCTCTCGCTGCTAGTAATCTCTGATCGGGGACGTGTTTAAGTACAGTGCCATATCAGTTTCCTTGAGCGGGAAACACAATTATTTATAGATACTGTGTAGATTTCCTTATAAACTTGGTTTGAAACCATTAAAAGGTATTAGTTCCTCTACAAAGAATCGAATTAGAAACACTGACCTCTGTCAACACTGAGGATCACGGACCTCCCAGTCTTAGAATAAGAGGAACTTGCACGGATATCAGGGCTAGACTTTCAGTTGTCAAAGGATAAACCCGGAAAGAGAATTCTCATCCACGAAAGATACAATCATCGTTGCAGAAATTGCGGAACATTGTTGAAAAAGTGACATTTCTAAATGTTTCCTTTTCAGTCAGGTAAAACAAATATTTCCCCCGGAAGCAAACGTTGTTAACTATCCACACTGAGTCGCTTTTTCGATCTCGGCCTCCGCTCTCCGGGACATACAAGTGTTTCTTTGCGTCAATTTTGAGTTTTACTGCGGCTTCAGCCTGACTTGGCGTGAAATAATGAAGTCAAGTAATACGTAATTACTAAATAACGAGTTTAATGTTGAATGACAAGAGTGAATGATCAAGACCTCCCTTTGATTCACCAGTCATTGCCGGAATTTCAGAGGGATCAGATAGAAACTTTTGTTCCCCTCGACATCGGTATGACAAATGCAAGCCGAATGATCGTCAAAACAACACGCAGTGCGTGTTTTATATTTATCCCTTTATGAAGAGTATCAAGAGTATTTCAAGTACCGAGTTATTTTAAGACCAACATACGTAAATATTCGTAGTTTGGGAATTGAAAGACGTCAAACTGATCACTGTTGAATATTAAACATGCATCGCAGTAGACTCTCAGTCGAAAGTTGACTGTGTTATCGCCGATAGGTGACGTCATTTACAATACAAATGTAGTTTGGAAGCTGAAAAGCTTCTGTGGACGCGACTTAGCCACAGGATAACCAGGCGACATTTACTACTGTCCTGTGGTCATTCGTTTAATTTTGTCTGGTCTTAGGAGGAAGGGCGGGTTTTGAGTCTCCAGAACTTCCTTAAAGCCGGGTATAAAATTTCTGAAGTAAAACTGTGTTATTCAAATTCAATCTACTATTGTATATTTTTGTCTTTATGATATTATACCACTACAACTGAAATGAAATCAGATTTTTTTTTTCAGTTTTCATCAAAAACAGTACTGTCTCAGCCAATTTAATTTCACGGTCAATTTGCCAAAGTCTAAATTTTCTCGTTCTTTTGTCAAATTTTGCGGTAATTTTTTTTGTCAAATATTAAGTTAGTTCATCTATAAATTCTCAGGAAACCCAGACGGCAATATGAGTGCCGTATCACTCTGCTTAATGATCAATACCCAGAACCAACTCATTGTTAGTGATCCAGATGAACAATTCGTTCAGATCCAAAAACGACGTATAGAACGAATGAGCTCTTTATTAATATTCTTATTATTCGTTAGCAATTCAATGAGTAGCTTTTCTTAATGTTGCAATGAGTTCCTTAGTTATTCCAGGTGACAGATGATACCAAACTCGACTGAAAATGGCTGCATCATTCGTGATAGATCGGAGCGCATCGTATTAATTGTTTTTGAGATAACCACGATGATCAGACCGATAAAAGTTGTTTAGATCAATGTTGGAGGAAGTTGATCTTCTTGCCGGTCTTCTATATGATTATTTTTTTGAAAACCATTCAAAGATGGAAGCTGTAGCTTGATTGACAGGATCATATGACAGCCAGCTGCATCAAAGTTCAAGCATGTGCAACTCAAGTGATCTGACAATTTCCCTTTTTTTCCCATTTTTCGTGCCATTTAGGGCTATTTTGTGAGGTTTTGGACAATGAAAGAAAGCTTATAGTTTTTACTGAGATTAGTACATAATATTTCAATTTTTTTTCCTCAAGTATAAAGATTATTGATAACAGTGACAGGAAACCGAAGGTTTCAGGGAAACTCCATCTTTGGTAACATGACTGTGTCTATTTGCAAACAAATAAAACGAAATTTCAATTTTACATCGATAGCGATTTGGACTTCACCTTTAAGGGATCGGCACGGGCCTTTCCCGCTTTTAAAGGAAGGTAAACTCAGGTAATCAACTTTATTTGCATTGTAAAAAGAGCGGAACATGTTTTACCCATGTTTTCGATTTTACTATCACATACACGATTCAAAGCTTTATCAAAAGAGAAATATCTGACACCTTCAAGGATCACTACAAACTGTTTTTCTGAAAGGAACATTAAAAAGACAATATGTGATCAGTTCGAGAGCTGCAACGATGGGGATATTCAAAAGGGTTGTATTTACTTCCGGTTTCTAATCCGGCCCGTCGACTTTCCTAGATTTTCACTTTTTTGTTATTTTTCTTCGAATTTTTACTCCATTTCTGGACAGTTGAACAGCTTAGAACTAAAATCTACGGAAACCGAGCCCATTATTATGGTTTTCTCGCTCCATTTCAAGGGGAAAAAAGCATGTTCGTTCTACGTAATTGAAAAGGGAAAGAAAACAGGAAGTACAGAATGACGTAGGTGACAACTATAGTAACGAAGGGATGTTTGTGAGAAGAATTTGTGTTTCGATATAATTCATTCTAACATCGGTTTTAAGCCGAAGCTGAATGAATACAGCGAAGCCGTGAAATTAATGAAGCGTAATGAATCTTAGCTTTCTCTGTTGTTTTTCATTTGGACATTTTCCTTTTTTGCGACGCGAAAAATTCTCTCTTTTCGCCATATTGGTCTCCCGCAGAATATTTTGACTGAGGCGTGTGGTCGCATCTTTTTAAATACTTCGTCTGCAATCTGCCAAAATTTCTCTCAGTTATAATGGTGTTTGTTTCTGACTCTAGCTAAGTTCCCGAAGTGTCCTTTTTCTATTGGCGTCGGAGGCAAAATGGAAAATTTCGAAGAAGAACCGACTTGAAAGAAATTGAAATCGTTGTTATTGAGTACTAAATTCTCGCCACCTTCAATGACATCACTGTGACATCACGACGCCCTCCCAAAATGCAAATTCCCGAAGCATTTTCCTCACTCGAAGTTGAGCCACAAATAGCACGGCCATACACATTGTCAGGGCAGCTGTTGTGAAAAGGCATATTTACTGGTGGGTAAAAATAGATCTTTGAATTTTTATTTCCGTCTAACACCGAAGTATAAACAGCATAGATGCTACCAGAGCGATTTCGAACAGTTGTACTCGGCAAGCTTGGATTTATTTGCACGTTTTTAAGAGTCCTTTTCTTGTTTTGACTGCCTTGTAAGGGTGGAAATTTTGTGCGTTTCGCTTGCATTTTTCCGCAATCATTCACAACCTTCTCTACCTCTAGCAAAACTTGTTATTTCTATGCTGCTTCCGATCGTTCGCTTTTTCAGCCTTGGAATGATTTAGGTAAAATAATGGTTGGATCTTGTGCTTGCCAACGAGCATGATAGAAATGTCGTAAGCTTGCGCCATGACGAACAACTCTGGGATCGAATTTTTGCCATGATAATGCTGTCGTGAATTTTCATGTTACTCCAGTGGGCGATCCACCGTTAATGTTCGTTGTTTATCTTGTTGTGAGCTTACGATACTATCCAGCGAAAATGACAAAGCTGTCGTTATCTTCTGTAGATAAAAACTGGAATCGAAGCACAGGGCAAGCTTGTGTTTTCCATGTTTTTCTTGCGTTCGTACAGCTGTCGAAGGTGGTCGTCCTCAGAAAATCGCCGCCGTGGTGTTCCATAGACTAAGAATTGATCGAACCAATTATATAATTGGGAAACAAGTCTCGTTTGAAAATTTCAGAATTTTGAGCGAAGGAGCTGTTGAAATAAAGAGGAAAATGGCCTCAGCGCGGATGCAGATTTCACTTCGTTTTTGCGACATTTTTAGCTTGGGTCACAAAATTTTTCGACGAACGTCGGTGATTTCGCGCTTTGAACACATCCATCTGAAACTATTCGCCGATCGGCATAAGCCTAAGTTCATTGACACCTAGCATTTCGCTAAGTTCTTCTTAGTGCATACTTTCGCTCGACACGAAGTAAAATGTTAGACGAAGACGTCGTTTGGACCCTCGGAACAAGTAGCTTCAGCGAATGACAAAAACATTCATTTACAAGATGGCAGAATAGGCGAAAACAAAACTTCCAACCTTAGATGTTAGCTTTCTTGTTGATAAAACGGTGCAACTTTGAAGACCAAAGGACGGTGTTTTCGTGTTCGTAGATCAAAAGTTCGTGAGGAATGCCTCCTCAGTGAGATCATTCGTTCTAAGCTACCCCGGCGAAATTCACTGATCGCAAACCTCATGACATCATTTCACGCAATGAACGATCGCTTCGAATTCCAACCGAGAAGTGCTGTTCGCCTCTAAGGTCATCTGGAAGAGAAATTTTGCTCGGGTAAAGAAAGGTGGATCGAATTGAGCAGCCCGCCATCATTCCCGAGACAGAATTTGTATGACTATTGTAACATATCACTACACCAATAGCATAGCACAACTTTCCTAGATCTTGACGAGACAGCTAGCTGGTACATGTAAATGATTTAATGAACTCACTTTGTTGTTTTGAATCTGTTCATTTTACAGATCCATCGCATCAGACACAGCGATCAGACACAGTCGAATTTAAAACTGGCTGAAGGCCCCCTAACGAAACTCAAGTTGAGCGCGGCCATCCACAAGAATCACAGTATGGGAAGAAAGAAGATACAAATTTCAAGAATCGGCGACGAGAGAAATCGCCAGGTATGAAACAAGCAAACTCCGCACCAATTTGTGCAAACCGCGCGCTTTATTATTGTTCGACACAAATAGCAGTGGATTTGTGGCTTTTTTGGTCCGCGCGGGCGTCTTGCGATGCTAAATATATTGCACACTGAAGGTCGAAAATAGAAAAATCGGTTTGGGGTTAGAATTTCATTAGAGCGCGGTATTTTTAGCTCGCGTAGGTCAATTTTGTTATATCTTAGGGCTTCGTAGTTCTTTTGTATCATTTGATATTAAAAGGAATGAGAAGTGAAGTTTTCTCTGCAATTGTGCAACTAGTGATGAAATGCACTGTACCGTATCACAGCACTGGGGTGTAATTGGGATCTACCAACACATTCATGGCAAAATTCCCGGTACCTGCAGACCCATCAACATTTCTCCTATAAAATGAACAAGAACCTCTTTTTTTTTTTACAGCTCACACTCAGCTTAAAGAGTAATGAGTTGCTCCGCGAGTTTCTCCTACGTTTTTGAAGTTGAGCTGGCGGTATCGAAGGTTCCATCGTCGCGTGTTGCGAGATATTTTTGGTTCATTGTTTGTCTTTGATTTTCAAGTTCATTTTAAATATCCCATTAACATTTCACGGCATTGTTGGCTTCATGAGGTGTTTGTTGACAAAAGTCATCTACATTGAGCTGGACATGCTAGTTCTTGACGATTAATTTTTGTTCACTGTACATGTCTTGCTTGAAACGTCCTTTGTTGTCTGTGTTTAGCGGCTGATGGAAGCACGCAGGAGATACATGTATGTTTCGAAACCGACTGTAATGTACATCTCGTGGAAATTTGATTTGCGATAAAATAGAACTTCTCTTTGTTTTTCTTACCACAAATTACTATTTGTAGTTAGTTTTTTTCAATCGCGATCTCTTTTGTGATTTGCGATTTTAGCTTATGGTTATTTTGTTTCTTGTAATAATTTGCGTGAGTGATTTATTCAAAAATAAGCTTGACAAATCAACATTACAATTCTTTGTGCGTGTCTGTTTTGCTTAAATTTCTTCGTCTTTTTTAATGGAACACAACAGAAGATAAAACACCAGTTTTGATGTTTGAGACTTTCGCTTAACGTAAATCGATATCCTTGATGTGATACCGTTCCCCAGTGTGTTCTAGAAGCATTCCAGAAATAAATTTAATCTTACATTGCATGATCACATTCTTTCTGAGGTTTATGTGTCGCTGTTGAAAGAAATTAACCTGTGTAATTCTTCCTCTTAATTTTTTGTTTGCACTATATGGAAGCTTTTTTTGTAATGTTGCAAAATTCTTGTAATTTTGTGATCCTTGTGGTTAAAACATGTCTCCAAAAGTAATTCCCTTACCATTTGATATACTGAAAAACATTTCAACAAGAAAGTGAGCATACGAGTCTAATTTTAAAAAGGTCATTTGCATTTTTTTTTTCTATGGTGTAAGGTAGAAGGTTTTGCTAGGTTTTTGGTTTTAAAATTAGCAGATGATTACTTGTACGTGAGGCCTCAGGATCCATCTGATGCGATGTCTTACTGATGGCTTGTGCGCATACCACCTGTACAGCTGTAGGCCAAGTCTGTAGACAACTCACACTAACACTTTATCCAAGGTGGATTCAAATCTGGGGTTGGCATGTTTTGGTAAAAAAGTTTCATGTGTTTAGAATTTGCCTATGCTCTAAAACAAATTAAAAGTGGCTGAAAAGTCAGAGTTATAAAGCTTCTAGCCGTTAGCTACATGTAAATATGGTAGGAATTTTGTCATGGAGGTTTTTGTCAGGATTTGCTGAGTGAGAAGTCAGATGGGTTTCCATGTTTGAAATTTTTCAGCTCCACATTTTTGCTTTCTTGTGGTAGAATTACCAGTTGTTTATTTAAAGACCAAAAATGTTGTTTTTGTGGTTAAGAACAATAACGTTTTATTTTGTTCAAACATATGGAGAGAAAACCATGTGATGGACAGAACCTTGGTTTCACTTAATGCCCCGGAGCTTCGCTGTGCTGTGGCCAATTATGTAACAGGGTCACAAGTAGAGTCCCCCATTACAGCCTAAAAAGATCACTCATTCCCACAATCCTGACACTTTTTTGGACATTATTTTCAGAAGTTTCATACAGGAAGTTTTGATTTCCTCAATCATCTTTACCTAGAGCAGGTAGAAGAAAAGGGGTGGAGAAAAATGTGCATGAAATAATCAGTGCTGGAAAAATTAAATGCTTTTTCCTTATTTCTAAAATAAAATCCAGTCGACTTTGAAACGACTTCCTAAACCCATCTGTCATATATATTAAACTGCCGAATTCCATATCCTGTCTTTTAGTCTTAAATGTTGCAACCTTTTTACTCTAAAATCTTGAATCTCTACCTTAACATGTCTTTGCACAAGCCAAATCTTGGATCATAAAAAATGTATTATGGACCCTCAATTAAGTGTTCCATGAAAGGATCATATCTGATAGCTTAGCTTAAATGTGGAGTCATTATTTTGGTGAAATTTATCTATGATGACAGTACTGATGTGTAATCAAGTATCACAGACCTTCCAACTCTCACGGTTTGACCGTCAGACTCATGGTTTAGGCAGTCAACTCATGATCCCTCGATTTAAAATTGCCAGACAATTCTGGTAGGAACTGCGTAGTTTCAAAAAAACCAACTTCATAATAGGCAAAAATTGTATCAATCTTGTTTGGGGGGAAACCTGAGTCTAGTTCCAACCTCATTCCTGTAAAACATAGGTTCGGTAAGGTCTGTGGGAAAGCCCTTATAGTATACTCACTTGGCTACTCGCCGTCCTGTTGACCTGGATAGTAAAACATAATCCTCCCATTACTGCCAAAAGAGCGACAAGACAGTACAAAAGAGACCACTAATAGGGTAAAGAATACCGTGACAAAAATAATCAGCGTTTTTGATTTTATTTGACACATATTTTGGAAATCTCCAGGTTTGAGGTCCCAATCTCCAGGTTTTTGGCAGCTTTTTTCGAACACTCCAAACTTGTATGGTTTAGGGGTTGGATGGTCTGAGTATCATATACTGAGGAAACATTGTACTGCCATGTCATCCACAATCATGTAATTTAAGTTATTTCACTTGATACAGGTCACATTTACCAAGCGTAAATTTGGATTGATGAAGAAGGCGTACGAGCTGAGTATTTTGTGCGACTGTGAGATTGCACTGATTATTTTCAATTCTGGCAACAAGTTGTTCCAGTATGCTAGTACTGACATGGACAAGATTCTTCTGAAATACACAGAGTACAATGAACCACATGAGAGCAGGACCAACTCAGACATTGTGGAGGTATGCATCAGTCAGCCAGGTTGCTTTAAAGTTCTCTCATGGTTGATATGGGCTGTCATGTAAGAGGCAGAGGTGGGGGGGGGGGGGCAGGGGTTTCTCCCAGCTGCTATCAGCATGGCCCCTGGCTACTTTCATATAATGTAGGAAAATAGAAGAAAAATAGAAGCAAGGGAGACCCCTAGCTGTTTGATTCCCCGCCTTTTCTGTTGTATTTATTCGGCAACTTGAAATCTTGGTGACAGCCCTGGTTAACTCGCTTGTGCACTTGGCAAAGTGGAGGATCAATTTAGAAGTTTACCAGTGGTAGACGAAACACTGATCCCCAGTTCATGGATTACCCCCCATGGACTACCCATATGGACTACCCTAAAATGGAATACACCACTGAAGTTTAGTGATATGTAGTCTTGGTCTAGTACATGCTAGCTACATGTATGGCTTGCCCAAATGGCAAGCTGTAAAACTAAATTTCTTTGCACCCCGTATATACCTTTACTGTATATTATAGTTTTTTCCTCTACAAAATTCTTATTTTAGGGGGACAGTATAACATTGATTTACATGAAAGGCTCTGCTCTAAGGAAAATGAAAGGGAGTCAGGTGCTCTGAACCCGTGAAATCCAGGGTGCCCAGCTTAAGATTTCTATCCAAAAAAACTGTGTCACCTAACAACACTGCCAGAATACATATACAAGTAACAATTTTGTTATTTTATTTTTTTTTACCAACAGACCATTTCAAAGAAAGAAAACAAAGCATTGCCATCTCCTGATGACACAGATAAGGTGTGTGTTATCACTGTATATACACCGTATTTTTACTGTTAACCAGAAATATGTACAGGTGTGCATGTGTATAAATGCTGGTAAAGGTACTCTTGAATGGGAAATGTTGCCTACTCTCAAGCTTCTATTGGGGTCATCACATTTTGTTGTCAAGTCTACACTTTTATAAGTATAAAACGTCATTTTACAAAAAAGAAAGATTTGCTCTCAGTCAGTTTGGCAAGCAGGAAGATTTGTTTCCTGTGCTGGTCTGTTTCGTTTTGCATGAATGACAAGTTCTTAGAAGTGAGGCAAGAGAAAATTGATCAGAACAGGAGATCTTGCATAAGACTAATGCGAACAAAATGCATTTTTGGTTAACAAACACCGAGTAAGACTGAATGGCTTCCAAAGATTTTTGCAATCAAAAATTTAATACACTAACAATGACTGTTCAACCATTATATGACTAGTGGAGGGCTTGTTCTTGATAAAAAAAAAACTACCACTTAATTATGAATGAAAAAAGTCATAATTTGGCTTAAAATGGGTTTTTTCTCGCGCCCTCAATAGCCCTCGTGCTCCGTTAAATTAGGCTAGCAAGGCCACTGAGCATTGTTTGTAAACTAATTTATTGTGGTTTGACAGTTTGTTTTTGTAAGACTTCAAAAAATTTACAACCACTGACATTAAGGCTGGTGGAGAGATTTGCCTGTTTGATGAGAACATGCAAAGGGGCTACTGTATAATTTTTTTCAAAAGATGAACAACAGACTCTTTGAAAAATAACATAAATGATTGTTCATCAGCTTGTTTTATTTTGCAAGGTGTATTTTTGTAATATTGACAAATACAAGCAGATTTCTTGGTTCAGCTGCTTGTCACATGTTTATTACATAATTTTGTAAAGTGACGTAGTTTTAATATCCAAACACGTTTTAAAAAACCTTTTTACAATGCTCTGTGTGCTTGAACATTGTACCTGATAGGAAAACAAATTATCTTGTGTTTGTTTCTTTTAGAGTGCTAAAACACAGTTATGCACTTTATTTAATTTTGTTCTTAATGATTGAAAATATTTTCATTTCAAATTTAAACATAGCAAATTGATTTTTATTTGTCATTTGTGTTTGAATTTATTGGTGAGAAATAATCCTTTCGACAAAAGTAATGTGCATGTGCATGTAGGCCTAAAGATCGATTTCCGTATGTTTTTTAAAAATTCATTAAAATATCTCTAGGAAAAAAATAAGAATCCAAGAACATGAAATGCTTACTATGTTTTGACTTAGAGGTGGAAGTAATGTCTCATTAAGTGTGAATTATTTGAATACAATCTTCCTGTTTGAAGATCAACGAATATCAAATGACGTCCATTATCAGTAAAGTTGCATAATATTTCCTTTTTCTGCCCACACAAGGCACGTGGACATAAAGAGAATAAAACATATAGTGCATCTAAATTTATAATTCATGCCTAGATAACCTAGCAAAGACTAGAAAATGGTGTAAATTCTTCAAATTAACCAGCTATAGTTTAGCTCTTTCAATGTTTGTTTATACTGCAGTGGCTCTTATGGGTTGACTCATTAGCTTGAGAAAACAGGTGACATTTCCTGGTGACCACTACTGGTTTCCCCACGCAATGACGTCTGATGAACAACTGGAGAAATTTCATAACAAAGACAACATGTCGCTATGCTACCCAGATCTGGGAAGTGCTTCTGATTGGTTGAAGCAAATTTCCATTGTGGCACAACTAATTAGAAGTGCTAGATGTGGTCAGTGAAGTCTCATCAATGCGGAATTTCTGTGCTCGTTCGTCAGATGTTATCTTGTGGGGGGGGGGGACCAGTGAAATGTTAGCCGTTTTCTCCTGCTGTTTTTGTTCTGCCTGTTTTCTCGCGCTAACTTTGTTTGTACGAAAATGGCCTCTGTGGGTTGACTCACATGCTAATGAATAAAATTAATTGTAAACAGTTAACATTAGCAACGATTTGCCTTAACCCAAGACACAAATTGACGTTTAAGAATTACCATTACCTTAGGACTGAAAGCATATTTGTGGTGTGTTGAACACAGTTTTTTTATTTCTGCAGCAATTTGTGCTTACTCCAAGGACAGAAGAAAAGTACAACAAAATTAACCAAGAGTTTGACCAGATGATGAAAAAGAACCTACTTCATCCAGTGAGTAGTTATCATTGCTTTCTGCATTGTGTCTTTTACCTTAACCTTGTTATCAGCTGCTGTTTTCTCCACACTGTTCCTTATACATCTCCCACCTTCCAGGAGAGGAGAATTTGTGTCACATAAAATCAAGATCATTTTTTCAATGCAAAGAAGATCATCACAGCTTAAGGCCCAACTTATGCTTGGGTTGGGAACCCTATCCTTTCAGGACCAGTGTAGTGCTCTAACCAGTTGAGCTAGCCAGCAAGCCAACTGGAAGGTGGCCGTTGAATTTGTTTGTAATATACCCAGACCTTTTTGTCAGTCATTTCTCTCATCCCTGTAACCATGTCATAACCTTTAGGGTAGTCTGCATGACTTGTTTGGAGAAATGCAGTAACAATTGTTAGAAACTGCAAGAAAAAAGATAATTGACAAAATTCTGATATTCTGTAGCAGCAGTCTTCCTCTGGCTCGGACAATTATCACGCCCTCCCTGTCACAGTCCCCGTGTCGTCAAACAGTGTCGGAGAAGATGGCTATGGCAGCCGGCCGCAAAGTAGGGACAGTACAGTGATGAGCAATACCATGCCAGTCAGCGCAAGTGGAAGGATTACAGGTGATCACATGAATGGAAACTATTCTCGCGGAAGCACCCCTGGAATTTCAGGTACAATAGTTATTAGTTACTATTCTGTGTAGATACATGTATATCCAGTTAATAGGGAGTTTACAACAACTTAAAAGGCATGTTCAAATTCTTTCAATCTTTATTGTGGAGGTTCCAGTTGGCTAAATTTGACTAATTAATGGTGGTAACTTCTCCTGGGGATGAAGTCTTAAGGGCTGTATAGCTTATCTGAGTTTAAAATTAGAATGTCAAGCAAGGCTTGTTATGTTTATGCCCTCGAAGTGTAAAACATGGCATCAGGAGTTTGAAGTCATGCAGAGGATGTATTAATGAGTGTGAAGCACATGAATACACTGTGAGTTGATGTCCCCGCAATATATCAGTCAGCTACTATACATGTATGAGGATTCTGAGGCGTGTAATCTGTGCAATCTGTGAAGGAAAATGGCATTCTACATGTAGAAATGAAGAAATATCACCATTGTTTAGAAAGTTAAAAAAAAAATGGTTGGAGCCACCACTGTATGTAACCATTCTTAGACTAGTACATGTACATGTATTTTAGTTTGAGGATTTTGTTTTCACCTCAAAGCTAAGCTAAGGAACATTGCTTGTCAGCTAGGCAAGTTCGGTGTGTTAATTGAATTTAAAAAATATGTTCCATAATAAAAACTTAAGTCGATGAAGATTACATGTACTGATAGGTTGAAAGATCATTTTACCAAATTTTCTCCTCATCAGTTTGTTAAGAGCCAAACCCAACCAAACCTCTTTCAAAACACATATGTTATTCACAATCATACCTTTTAGTCTGTTTTCCTGTTGTGGTTTTCAGAAAGCCAAACCTAGCTGCAGTAAATTAATCACTGAAATTGAAAATAGCTGTAGTCTATCATGGAAAAGAAAACTAGGACAGAGTTTCTTGTTTTGTTTTTCAAAATTTCCTGTTTGGGCTTTGCCTGGCAGGTTGTTAGAGCTTGCCTGAATGAACCACTATTAATACAAATGCTTTTTGCATTTCAGACCTGTTGTTCCCCACTTCTCCCCAAAGCTGATACCATATAAAGGATTGCATTACTCTGATTGGTTTTCATTTTAATGATGTTGCAAGCTTTTAACAATTGCCTAAATAAAAATAAATAAATTGTATAATACCTGTCGGTACCTTGGTGCTTTGAACAGAGACAAAATAATGACAAATTAAATTAATTTGACCTTAAAAAGTGCAAGAGCTACTAAGTTTTGTTCAATTACAAATGTAACGTTTTTTTTTTCACTTCTAATGACAGCAGTGTTACAAGTAACTTGTAAACACTCAAGGTTGTCTTTGTCTTTGTTGAATTTTCACTCATAAACAACTAAACCTGCAAAATTCTAAATCAGATGAGACTTTGTTTTAGGTAGTTTAACAGATGGTTGTTTTAGTTTAGTCAAAAAAGTTTTCTTTGTTACCAAAGATGTTTTTAACTTCACCACAATAAGCATTTATAAAAGAAATAAAATAAATAAAATAAAATAAAGTTTACCATTTGTGTGCTCCTACAATCATGCAGAGGTTCACCTAATAATGCTAAATGGTTATAAAATTGATGTTATAAGTTGAATGCTGCTTTAAAGAGTGAATCTTAAATTTCAATTTTGACTACTTTGCTTCAAGTAGGAACATTTTGATTTAAACAGTTTAAGCCATATTATTCATTCTATTAATTTTATTGCTAAGTAACGTAATATTGAAACAGCATTAATTTAGTGTTTCCCATTAAAAACTGTCTCTATTTTTATTGTGCAATATTATTTTTTGTTGTACATTTAAAACTGTATTTTAGCTTAAACTTTCATGGAGCTTACATGATGATTCTGACCACTGTCAGGCATTTTTCTTTTTCATATAAACATTATAACTCAGTTTAATGTAATGTATATGTAGCTTGATGTTGAAATAAACAGTAGTTTGTTGTTGTAACTACAAATTGTGTGTCAGTTATTGCTGTTTCAAGTGTAAGCTTCAACTGAAATACATCTAAATCCAAAATAATCATGTTTTTCAAGATAATTTATATCCTTCATGCTCAGTGAATTAAACTCCTTCAGTTGACGTACATCTGTATCAATGTCTTATTTCACTGGACCCTGATAAAAAGACTTTGATATCTTTGTAAATATGTTGCATATTACAGCAAGTGGTATTGTTTGAAGAAATTTTGGTGCCTTTTTACTGTTTCTGTTAAAAAAATAAGGTTATTTGCATGGTGGTTCCAACTTTTTAAATTTTAACAATGCTACATTATCTCAAAATACCAGCAACAAATACATTTTGTGTAAAGCTTTGCAAAAATTAAAAATATATCATGCCCAGAATTGTTGATAATATTTCCTTACTGCAACACCAGTCAAACCACAAGACAAGTCTGAGAGAGAGAAACTTAACCATGCCATACAAGCCCAGCCATTTAATTAATGTGTGATACAGTAAAGACACCATTGTAATATTAAAAATGATTTTGTGTTATCCAGGAAATACACAAAATATGTCTGACCTCGTTGCAGCAGCAGGGCTAGGCAGAAGGAGTGTCACCCCTGGATCTGTTCAAGGAAACGATGGCTCATTTGCCTCGCCTTCTCCAGGGGTAACAAACACTGGACGGAATTCTGTGTCACCACACCCGCAAGCTGTCACCCCTCCACCTAACAGACCACCATTAAAGATTAGCATTCCAAGCCGAGGCCCCAATGCTGGACAGATGGTAAGGGACATTGAGTTATTTAGGAATGCAATTTAATGTAATGCTTCACATTATTAACGTTGTTTCATGACATGTAATCAAATTTGACCTGCAACATCTACCTAGGAAATTAACGTTCCATGTAATTATTAAGGTATTAGAAATGAATGCAACTTAAGTTAACACAAATTCCATTGAAGATGACTTTCAAAGAAAGGGAATTAATGCAAAAGAGGGGGAAACATTTCACATTGAAGGAAATTAATGCAAAGTTCAGAAAGAAACAAAAGTTGTTGAGACAACTGGAACAAAGTTAAACATATAATACAAAATGGAAACTTTGTTTGTGGTACTTTCCCTGAACATACCAAGGAGGTCAAGCTAACAAATCTGGCCTCTGTATTCACATTAATTTCACAAAGCGTAAATGTTCTGAATTAAGGTAGCAATAAACAGTCCATTTATTCTAACATAAATCATTATTTACCATTGCTTTTTAGCAACCTAATCGCCATGGGTTGACAGTTGCATCATCTCAAGAAAATCAACCTTTGTCTACCCCGGTGATTTCATTAAACTCCTTACCACTACAGACCCCTGGTGATAACAACTCACTCTCAACACCGATCTTTTCCATGGCAACACCCAATCTTGCGGGAGCAGCACCTCCCACATTCTCCTCTGCCTTGCCGTCTGGCTTTCCACCTGATTTCCATCTTGAAACCACAGAGTCCCTGGCACAGAAATTGGCACAGTATCCAGCGGCTGCGGCATTACCTCTCATGCAACAGCAAGCTCTACTCCAGCAACAGCTAAATATGCATGGATTACTGCAAGGGTAAGAAATCCCTATAGTATTAGTGAACTTATGCAACAGGACGGGTGAGGAAAGAAGGCAGCAAACCTTATGTGACAAGTGTGAAAATTAATTTTGTTTGAAAAAACTTTCCACCAAACTTCAACTTCCTTTAAACAGATATTTTCGAAAAAGGCCAGAAACATTAATGTTAAGTGAAGATCCCAACCAAACACGCATCTTGTAGCCCTGTCATGTTTGACACATGCAAAATAATATTATGCTGTCCTCTTCTTGCCATCCTGTTGCGTAAACTCAATATCATTGTTGTACATATCTTTTTGCAGAGATACTTCTGGAGTTGAAAAAAGTGGTTAAAAGCCTGGGAATCCTTTTATTTCTCTGTTTCCCACTAACTCAAATTGAAAGGAACAAAATTTTATTAGACATGATTGTTCTAAGTTTAAGTTTGATTGGTTTTGCTTTTTTGAGAGAACAAAACAGTATGAAATGTGTGTCAGTTATTACTGTTTCAAGTGTTAGCTTGAACTGAAATAAATCCAAAATAATCATGTTTGAACCCAAAAAACGACCTGAAAATTTTGCCTTCTATGCATACCCTGACTTCAGAAGCTAATATTTAGCACTAAACAGAAGGCAGCACTGTGTTCAATACACTCATAAAAATGGCATTTTGGGCAGTTTTGGTCCTTTTTACCCTGACAGTCACCAGAAAACAGCTCAACCAGCTTCTAAAAATGTTTTTTGGCAAAAGTCCAGGTACAAGTGTTTCATTTCGTCACTGATTTCTTTTTTCTCGCTTAGGAATGTCGCCAATTTACTTGGGAATCGCCTTTCTGTTCCTAATGCTGCTTTGGGTGGACAAGGAATGTCATCACTGAACATTAAGGCCGAACCTACTGACCGGGACACTTCGTCGCCAAATTCACACTCTTCAATTTCCCCCACGTCCCCGTACCAAGTTCAACGGCGGCTTACACCCAGCAGAGATGACATCGATAAAGATGGAGCCGTGAAGCGCCCCCGGTTGGATGGCAGCGTTGCTGCCACCTATGGTCTGCGCTGAATGAGAGCTCCTTGTGTAATATTTTTTTAGTAGTAGTCTATTTTAGGTTTATGTCTTGTCTTTAAGAACTAACCATGAAATAAGTGATGCTGGCATCATACGCTGTGCTTCAAGGCTGTTAGAAACTTGCATTAATATCATAATATCACAGTACTATCATAACTCAAAGCTAGAATTAAAACAGATTCAAATTGCCAAAACAATTGCAATTTAAAGAAAATAGCAGTTGCATATGTGTATGCTGCCTTATTTTATAGTGCAGACATAATGTTTCTAGGATTAACTATGCCAAAAACAACTCTAGTAGTTTTCAAATTGCATAGAATGCATTTACAGCAAGAATTTTTGCATCACAAAAAAGATGTAAATTGAACTTCTCCTTTGTTTTAAGATGTAAAATCGTTATTTTATAATGTGAAGGTCTGTAGTGGTCTGATATTTATTGCCAGTGAATAGACTTACTGGCTGTTGTTTTGTTGTTGGTAAAGATGTTTTAACTTAAATCAAGAGTTTGAACTTTTTCATTCTTTTCCAGAATACTTGCACAATTTTACGAGCAACTTTCTAAGACAGCCTTGGAATACATTATTGTATTGGTCTGTTATTTGTATTTTCATCATCCCTTGTAAATAGCAATATTGAAAATTACATATATTCATCAAATATAAATTACTCCAGAAAAGTAGACATTTAATAGCAAGAACAGTTATGTAATATTAGTCCCAACTAAAAGAAACCATCATTTGGCAAATGAAAATAATAGTAAAGTTGTTTAATTTTGGGAATTCATCGCCTTTTTTAAAAAACTAGAACAAGACTGAATGGCTTGTGGTATACCAGTGTAATAATTATGCATTATTAGTTTGCTATGGGTTTGTTGGGCGCCGATTATATGGAGAAACCTTGTCCTGGGTAGAACCCGAGCGATCCTACAAAAAAAAGTAAACCTTTAACTTGAGAAACTAAAGTTTGCTCAGCTAAAAGGGTGACCCGCCTAGCCAGGTCATACTTTTATGATGGTAGGGTCGCTGGGGCAACTTTTCGCCATTATAAACACTTTGGCTCGCCCAGCAGAATCAACTCGTTCAACGCGAGACAATCACAGTGTGCACGAGGGCTGCTTTAGACAATCGGAGCATGTGGGAGCCCCGTTGGCTCGTGCAAAGGGGTACATTTTTTCTCATTTTAAACACTCGCTAAATTTGATGTGGCTGGGAGGGTCACCCTAATTCCCAGGAAACGTCTTCTCTATATAAACGGCGCTTTGGTGCATGTATAATTTGACACTTAACATTACATTGCATTACGCATTAACCATGTGAATTTATTTGTAGGTAAAGTTCTTGTGTAGTGTAGTAGAACTCTATGAGAGTATTATAGATTGTCAACATTGGTTGATTTTACGTGCATGGTCTTAATTTGGGGCCTTCTTTGTATTTATGCGATGGCATGAAGTATTCCTTCATGAGAAAAATGTGATTGACGTAAAATAAGATTGGCTGTCTCGCAGTTGACTTTTAAGGAATGTTTGCTATAATACATGTATTTCGTGTTTAAAACGGGAACAAGATTTTCAGACTTTTTTTTTTACTTTTCTTAGCTTTGCTAACAATTTTCTTCACCTTTTATTTATATGTCTTTTCTTTGATCTTTGGCAAAAGCGAATTCAAACACTAAGCTTTTCTATTAATTTTTTATTGCAGTTTAAAGAAAAAGCATTTTTTTTAAAGGGTATTTGAACTTACGTAGAAGTGCATTACTCAGACCAATATCTTTTCAGTCAACTGCATAGAGTCAACTTAGTCTGCGGACCAGTACAGCAGACGGAAAATTAATATTAGTATCAGTGTGCAAAGAATGAAGTGTTCGATAGCCCAAGGCTAGTGGATTTCTGTTCAAAGTGAAGTTGTCTGGAGAATTTAAATTACAGAAGAGCTGTAATCAATCCTGCTTATCAAAAACGTTTTTGAAATGACTTTTGGGCTAGTACATGGTAGCCAGGCTTGCCATTGTAAAACTGAATTTCTTTGCACCCATGTAGTTACACATTACGAGTGTTGTACTGTCGCTCTCTTTTCTTTTTTGCCACACGTCTTTGCACACATTTCTATGGGCAGGACCCTTTGTTTTATGCGTGTTGGTTTGGAAACTTGTTTTCGCCGAGCCTTTAGCGGTAAGCGCATTTTTTGATACTACTCTTAAAGTGTCATCAATCTGTCGGGCAAGTGTAATTCCGTAAATTGGAGTGAAGCGTGTTATTAAAGCAGTAGTGAGTTAACTAATATTGCTTATAAGCTAGTATCAACCTACCAACAAGCATTTTTTGTCACCTTTGTTCAATTTTTTTTTCAAGATTTGAAGACCTTGTACGTCCCAGGTACACGTCATTGATGGTGCTTTTAACAGAGTACAGCGATCTTAGAAATGTTAGTTTGGAAACGCATTTTATGAAAGTGTGCAAATTTTGTAATCGGCGAAACGTATGTTATTCTTTTTTGTAAAGATTATAATTTTAGTTGCTCATCCGTTCCTAAAAATTAAATTTTAGAACGGTGAAGAATGTGTTGATTTTGTTGTCTGGTACGAAAATAATCTTCACCGGGGCATCTCGGGCTCTCTCAAACTTTCCATTGTTTGATTGACTTACGCGTCTACTTCACCCGTCCCTCCCCTCCTTGCGCCCCTTCAGCCTCTTAAAATTACCTCTTGAGGACCTTGCATTGGCGGATCCAGGGGGGCGCCCTCACCTCCCTTAGTTCAAGACCAAACTGAGGCCCGAAGGGCCCCCAAAAAATTTTTTTGGAGTCCCCCCTTCTTCTAATCGAGAGATTATAACCTTGGAAATTTCAGAGCTTCTGACAAGTACTGTTACAAGCAACAGATCCTTAAAAAATTGACTGAATTTTAATAGGATATTTTAGAGGAAAGTATAGCAAATGAATTATTAACTCAAGACACGAGAGAATATAAAGAAGCAATGTTAATCCGACCAATCCTCTTCATCGTCATCATCCCAGTCATCATCTTCATCATCGGAATCATCTTCGTCTAGAAGAAAAACCAAGGGTTACTGATGTACCACGGTTCTAGCACAGAGCAACTGACTCGTCCGTGGTCGTTTTTACTTTAAGTGCTTACAATTTTCACAAACCACCAGGGTGAATTATGGATTGTTATTGTATGTGGTGGGACAACGACCCGCTGCAAAGTACATCCAAATCAGTTCAACAAACTTAAAAGAGTAAATCACAGCCCATATTTTCTGATGCTTCCCAAAACCCATTCGATTTTCCAACCAGGATTTCTGGTTTCCCCAAGTAAATGGTAAGTATTAGTACCGTTAGTATTAACGAGAGAAGCGCGGTGAAGGGGAGCGCGAGGGGTGATGGGTGGGAGGAAAGAGGGGAGATTCCGTTTCGTTTTCCTCCTTCCCATCACCCCTCGCGCTCCCTTCGGCCACGCTTCTCGCGTTCGTTCTACATCTCAGCTACGGGTCACTGACAATAGCGAGGAGACATAAGAAGGCTATCCAAAGATGATCCTTTAGGCCCAGTCTGCCACTGACTATATCTACAAACATATACAAACCGTATGACCAGAAGAAGAACCGGCTAATTGGGGGGAGCCTGTGTCAGTTGTAGCCAAAAGAAATCTAAAAGAAAGCCAATTACTAAGAAGTGGTTTGATTATGATTGCAAAACGTTAAGATCTTCACTTAAAAAGTTATCTAACAAAAAACACCGCAATCCTCTGGATACCGAACTCAGAAAAGAATATCATGTTCAAAATAAAACCTTTAAAAAACTTATAAAACAAAAAAAACAACAATTTGTTGACTCTAAAATAAATGAGCTGATTAGTAACGAAAATAACCGCAAATTTTGGGATACTCTAAAGTCAATGAACGAAAACATCTTGTCTTATAATAATAACGAAAACCCGACCAATAAACTTTATGATCATTTTAAAATGCTACACTCAGCACCTGATCCTAATACATTATCGGCATTTCAAATACACATGTTAAACGATAAAAAGCGTTTGGAGGACAGCAACCATTTACAATCGGAATTAGACAACCCAATATCCATTGAAGAGATTGATAAAGCAATTAAAAAATTAAAAAACAAGAAGGCCGCTGGACTTGATGGAATACGCAATGAAATGATTAAAACAAGCTCAAGCTTTATAAAATATCCACTTGAGAAACTTTTTAATCTGATTCTACAATCTGGAACATTTCCTACATCATGGAGTAATGGAATAATCACTGCCTTACATAAATCTGGAAACAAAGATGACCCTTCAAATTACAGAGGTATTTGCATTAATAGTTGTCTTGGCAAAGTCTTTTGTTCTATTTTAAATACGAGATTATTAAACTTTTCAAACAATCATAAAATACTTCATCGCTCCCAAATTGGCTTTGTGCCCGGACATCGTGCGTCCGAACATATCTTTAGTTTAAGAACATTAATAGACCAACATGTTACCCCTCCCCAGAGGTAAACTTTATACTTGTTTTGTTGATTTTAAAAAGGCATTTGACTCAATTTGGCACCAAGGTTTACTATACAAACTGTTGAAATATAACATAGGTGGCTCCTTTTTACAAAATAATTTCCAGCATGTATTCAAATTCAATATGTTGTGTGAAAGACAATTATACTCGATCAGAATTTTTCAACTATGATAAAGGTGTACGACAAGGCTGTATTCTGTCGCCGCTTCTATTTAACCTTTATCTAAACGAACTACCCTCATTCTAAATAACAATGCTAAAGATTCTATCTTACTACCAGATGGTTCTCACTTCAACTGTCTACTTTATGCCGATGACTTACTTCTAATATCTACCTCGGCAGAAGGTTTGCAACAAAGTCTTGACAGACTATCAAAATATTGTCAGGATTGGCTTCTTAAGATTAATCCAACTAAAACCAAAGTTATTGTATTTCAAAAGAAAAGTAGAAAATCAGCAATAGATAAACACAATTTTATGGTTAGCAATGAAAACATTGAAATCGTCAATAACTATACCTATCTTGGAGTGAAATTTTCAGCCAATGGAAATTTTACAAATCACAAGGAAAACTTAACAGAAAAAAAACAAAGAGATCCTTTTTGCCGCTCGTCGTTATCTAGATTTTCTAAAATTACCAATTCACATCATCAACAAACTGTTCAATACACTATTTTCCCCAATTTTAACGTATTGCTCTGAAGTTTGGGGAATCTATGATAAAAGTGATTATAGCCGCTGGGATAAAGACTCGATTGAGAAAACGCATATACATTTTTTGTAAGATGTGTTTAGGTTTAAACAAACGTTCACCGAATGTTGCATCGAGAAATGAGCTTGGTAGATTATCTCTAAATTTACAAATAACAATGAACATTTTCAAATTTTGGATTCACCTTGAAAATCAACCCCCTGACAGCATCGCTAAACTCTGCTTAAACATATCGGATAAAATGGCCGAAGAAAATAAATCAGGTCTAATAAATAAAATAAATCTTTTGAGTACACAACTTAATATTCACAAACAGTCAGTTAACTTAAAAAACCCTTCTACTTTCCTATCCAAAGCTGAGAATACTTTGTCAAAACATCTGAAAAACCACCAGCTAAATTTGATCAGAACAAATAAAAAACTAAAATTCTACTCCATCTTTAAAAATGAAACAAATCACTCTGAATTCATCAATCATATCCGGAATCCTGAACATAGGCGTGTAGCTTCCAAATTTAGGATAGGAAATCATAATTTAAAAATAGAAACTGGAAGATTTACAATCCCCAAAACTCCTGAAGACCTTAGAATCTGTGATCATTGCAGCCAAAATTCGGTTGAAAATGAACTGCACATATTATTTCACTGTGATCAATACAATGATTTGAGAAAGACTCTTTTTATTAAAATCAACGACCGAAATACATTATTTACACACTACAATATCCATGATAAAGTCTGTTTTCTTTTTAACAATACTGATTCACATATCAGCAGGCTAGCTGCTAATTTCATCTTTCAAGCATTTGAAAGACGAAAGAAACATAGTTAATTCTACTATTCCATCATACCTGTATTTCCTTAAACTTAGCTGTTTATTATTGTTATTTTAATCGGTAACACCTGTACAAAATGGTAATACTGAATAAACTTGTTGTTGTTGTATTGTCGTATAGCTTGGGCTGTGGTGTCCTGTGACTTACCTGAAGAATGCATGACTTTATGACGTTCATCTAAAGCTCGTGCTAGATTTCCCATCATTCCTGTAAACTCCTCTTTCGGCTTTGGAGCAGTTGTTCTTTCAACCTGCGAATCACCACAGATATCTCGCATTAGATATTCGTCAAGGCAGGCATAATTCAGTCACAAGTGCGAGAATTAACGTCAATAAAGTGCGATAGTTTCCTGGGGGCATACCCCCCTATATAGGCCATATAGGTATGTGCCGCCCCAAAGGTAATGATTTTTGGGCCTCTTTGGTCTAAAAACGGGTATACACTTTAGTTGCCCATTTTGGTCTGGAATCGGGTATGGTTTTTGAGGAAACTACGGGAACGTATGAACGTAGTTATCGTTTCAATTCCAAATGAATAAGAACGAAATGCATTTGAAGAATTTTTTTGTTTGCGCTCTATTCGAAGTAATGATAACATAATTTCTGCCTAAAGGCCAGGTCTGAAAACGGATATGGATTTTAGAGCTCTGGTCTGAAAATGGATGTGGAAAATGACATTTTTTGGTCTGAAATAGGGTCAGGATTTGGAGAACAGGGCGGCGCACCCCAACCAAGAATTCCCAGTGGTACCCCCCGGGATAGTTTGTCTAGCAACATTTATAGGTAGCCTGAGAAAACAGCCTACATTTCGCGAGGCCACCGCTGGTTTCCCCGCGAAATGACGTCTGAAATTCAGACGTTCCATACTGATACGTTCCAGAAATTCCATACTGATGACGTGTCACTACCCAGATCTGGATAGTGCTTCTGATTGGTCGTGCCGCGTGGAAAATTTGCTAAAATCAATCAGAGGTACTACCCAGATCCGGGTGGTGACGCTTCATCGGTGCGGAATTTCTACGCTTGTTTTTCAGTTGTAGACTAGAGGTCATTTCACTGGGAAACCAGTGGTGGTGTCGCAAAATGTCACTCTTGTTTTCTCAGGCTTATTTATAGTTAGACTTCGTCAAAATTGAAGTCCTAAGTTATAGTAAGCTCCAAGTGAGATCGGAAGACTGAACTTGTGCTCTTTTTTGGCGCCTTGAGCCTCTTTTCTCTCTCTGAGTCGTCGGTTTTCGCGCTTGGCAACATAAGTATATTTTGCCTACACTACCCAGAAAGACAAAAGGGCCTCTAGGTTAGCAAGGACCTCAAAGCGAGTTTGTTACAAAATTACCGTAAGAGTTTTTACATAAGACCGCACTCAATTACAAAATCCCCTATGGCGAAAACCAAACCTTTAAAAAGAAACTAAATAAAACACTGCCGGATACGAAAACCCAAAACCACTTTGTGGGGAAAAAGGGAACGTATACCCCCGCCAGCTGAAATCAGCTGCGGAACTAACGATTGCAGGCAAATATGACAAATTGACAAATAAAATGAAAGCTAGGTACTCGAATGAATGCTGAGACCTAGACTGA